AATAACCTCCATTTAACCTTGGCAAGCTCCACATCTCATTAGACCTCACCTGATCAATAGAACTTTAGAAAAAAAACTAAAAGTCGCATGTCCAAAACTCGTTTTGAATTCACCTCTATACAAATGAAATGCACATTCATCCGCAGCCAGTACGGGAACATTCACTTGCCTTGGTAGTGCACGTGTTGACCAACCGGGTGTGTTCCAATTCATCTGTTGTGATAATCCTAAATCGTTGGTTCACTTGCCATCTGCAATGCTCTACCCTTCTGCTGCAGAACAGAAAGGCGGATGTGGACCCTTCACTTTATTCATACCTCATGTTTAATATCAATAACTACAGCTATGCTCATCATGCAACATCAAAGGCCATCCCCACCCAGTCGCTAATATTCACACATCCATTACAAGACAAAGCAATGCCTTGGTGCAAGCCGATTTCTGGCAAAACACTCGCTGAAAACAATGTCAGTTATATTTTCACGCCAGTCATACTGCTTGTCACGACACCACATTTCACATTCCCACAATACAAATACAAAACACAATCCTTCAAGTACTGGAGAAAATATAATGAACAAGAACTCCTGTTTTTCTTAAAGGTTTACACTTTGTGCAATGACTTAATATAAATCAGCTTATTGTGATTTGAGAAATGGGTAAAGTTAACTTTTGACATTGGAAACACGCTTCATTATGATGCACGTAAATTCAGAAACCCAAAATTAAATGTCTAAAGGTGAGCTATGTTAGTAGTGTGCAGAGCTTGTTTTCTGCACATATGGCTATATGAAGGGTTTGTATTTGGGTTACAGCCGGAGCCTGGGCAGTGTGATATGCAGCACATTAGGATGCTTGACATTACCATGCATGAACTAAGCTCTTTTTTGCATGACTCAATTTCACACATAAAACACACCTCTATAAATTCTGTGCAAGACAACAAAATTGCCAAACACGGATAAAGAATAAACTGTTCATTTTGTAATCAAGTAAGTCGCATTGCGTTTTATACCTGCTGTCAATGATTTCCATAACAGTGAGTTATGCTAACTTTGCCATTTTAAGGCCACGTTTCCACAACCAATCGGGAGTGTGCTTGCTGTGAAATGGCCAGGGCCAATGAACCCGCTTTTAAACTTGCTGCCGTGTTAGCAGACCCGACATGGAGTGAGCTTGGGAACATGCTACACCACTTAAACCTGGGCTGATCCCCACAACCAGTCATGACATCACTCGGTAAGTGTAGAAATGGTATACGCGTATAGTCTGAATTAATCAAAGGCTGCTTTAAACCTTGGGAAAAAAAACATAAAATGTAATTCCCAACTGCCATGCAGTGGGTTTGGAGGGTCCAAAGGGGGTGGGTAGGGCAAGACACAGTAAGAGCAGAGAAAATCCACGGAGCCTCATGGTTTAAGGTACACATATACGGGAATGTTGCCAGGCGGCTCAGAGGTCAGAGCACTGAGCTGGCACTGTGGAGATCCTGGGGTAAAACAAGGGAATGCCTGCCTATGATTACACGGTGTAAAACAAAAATTGTTCCTGGGTAGTAAGTGGTATTTTCGAATTTCTTGTGCCTCAAAAGTACAGAAAATGGCTATTATCCCCCACAAACTTTTCTTTTGTGACCAGGACAGTGATATTTTGAAATTTACCTATTTTCAATGAGAAAACGTGTGCATTTGTGTCATTCCTTCACAAAGTCCTGGTCACAAACGAAAAGTTTGTGGGGAATAATAGCCATTTTCTATACTCTTTAGGCATAGGCAATTTAAAAAAATAACACTTACTACCCAGGGACAAAAATCGTGTTACATGGTGTTATTAAACTAGTTTCACAAATGTAGTGATTTGATTATTTCAAACTATTGACTAATAACTGCACACAAAAAAACACATCCCATTAAGTGTAGTTCTGTACTTTAACTCCAATATTGCTTTGACTGTCAAGAGAAACATTACTCTCATTTGGCAGCGTAGCGAGACAAGTATTGCCCTCTACTCAATAGCCCAGAGGTCACTTGAAGGGATGGCAAATGTATCTCTGAGAACTCTGCTTCCTTAGAGACAATAATCTTCACCTAATAAGTTCAGTTTTCAAAGAGCACTTCAACCTGCTCTTGCCCACCGTTATTTCATGCATTCGATCCTGGTGCGCTTTTTAGTAATTCTTCGGTATGGATCCTCTATATATTTCAACTTCCATCTCCAACAAATCTCTTCATTTGTTTAGCGAACTTGTTGTACGTGAATTTAGTTTTACTCGTACAATGCATTTTCCTTGAGTACATATTTGCAGTAATTTTAACAGATCTGCAATATTTTCCTACAATATCCATTGGTTGACTTTCATCAGGAAGATAAATGTTCACTTGTGTTTATACCTCTATTTTTTCAATCCAATTTTTTAAATAAATCCAACGTCCATGTGCATATAGACTATATAAAGAATATCAAATACCAATACACCGAGCCATTTTTAGACTATCAAAATGCATTTAACTGTAGAATTTGATTCAGTCATTCAAGCTCTCAAACCAATACCTACAAAATATGTTTAAATGATAAAACCTTTTACAAGGATACAACTACACTGACATTGGATAAAAAAAGTGACCACAAGCTTCTCAGAGGATTCAGGCAAACTCGTGTAAAGTTGTACGTGTTTAAATCCAGCTGCTAAGCTCGGTCATGGAAGCATGTATTTATATAGCATAAAGTTAAATTACAATCATAATAATGCCTGCTGGTTGCTCTGAGGTCACGATGTGCCACATGTAATTGATTTTACTGACAAAAGATGTAGCTTATTAACAGAGATAAACATTTGTCAACCGTGAAAGAAAACTTGTAAAACTGCATTTTATAAATCATACCGTATTTAAGTAGCGTGTAACTCTGGGCTCAACATCCATAGCCACCATGTGGCAGGTATCCACAAGGACTCCAGAGCATCAATGTGTTTGGGTCCAAGCCCGTTTGCACGTTCGCACAACTGCGTCAGGTTTGAGACGATAAAACTCGACTTGGATGGAGGTGCTACCACACTTTGACGAGGTCAATATACGTGCAGACTCAACTGCTATATGTTCGTAGCAATGCGAACAAACGTGATGGACGTACAATGATTCAAGCCATAATGCTTGCTAAAACGTCCAGCTTTTTGTGGAATTGAAAAGCAACAAACGAATGTCACATGGGTTCCTAAATAAAGGTGGCAGGACAATTCCAAGATTTAACTACGTTTTGAAAATACTGTAAACTAACCTGCGATGTATTTGACATTCTTAAAAAAAGGTATAATCATCTCACAATGCAATCTGCTTGTCTTAAAAACTTCAAATTGAAATACGGAAATTATAAAAAAAACAATGGCTGTAAAATGCCCTTGCCGGTTAAGCAACCACGGTGGTCGTAAGGAGATTAAACATGAATTGTCAAGATTTACCTCGCACAAATATATACATTTTCTTACGCGAGATATTATTGTCTGGAGGACATCAGTTCAAGCATTTATGCAGTTGTTGATTCACCAATTAAAACCATTTTAATGAGCACATGACAGTTCATGATACTTACACAGCAAGGCAATTAACATTCACGGAGTGTCCACAAACCCAAATGAGGTTCACAGCACAGTGATGTCCATTTTTTACTCAAACCATTTCCTTTTCATTTTGCTTCGAGTTGCTGCACTTTAGGAAGCACGATGGATCTCCTCTTGCACACGGGCACTTTGATCTTAACGGGATCAACTCGTAACAATTTTGGCAACGCCACTCCCCGGCGGAACGCATTTAAATCGCCCTTAAATCGTGCAGCAGCAGCAGCACATCAGCAGCAGCGCTATCTGGAAGGGGCGAGGACAGATGCTGCGGTTAGCTAAGGCCGGTGCTGGCGGAGCGAGCGTGTAGATAAGTGATGGTGGATACAATAAAGGCTGGTGGTGTTGGGGGTTGGGGGGAGACATTGGTGCTGGGAAAGAGGAGACGCTGGTGAAGAGCAAGAAGGGAGGCGCTAGGTGACATGGAGGCTGGTGCTGGAGGATAGAGCGGCTGGCGATGTTGTATCAAGCAGGAGGAGGAAGGAAGAGGTGGTGGTGGTGGGGGGGTCATCATCGCACACGCGATTTGCTGTCGTGCCGCTCGTGCACAGCCACCCCGGTGACGAATTAATATTATTGCTACTTTATCCATGGCATTACACCCTTAATGCTGATGTTAATGCGGGCCAACAGTCGGGCTGGATCATCGGGGGAGTGTTATTTTTATTATATCACAGCCGCTCAAGCCGAGATGCGGTATTAATGGGCGCCGGGCTCCATTCACTCGGTCTCCGCGGGAGACGGCGCGACCCTGCGATGGTGACACTGCCGGCGATGGTAACAACCTGACGACGGTAACCGCGACAGCGATGGTTACCCTACTGCGGTGTTGAAACCATGACACCATTGGAGACGATAATAACCATTAACCATGCCAGCGATGGTAACCACGATAGCGATGGTTACCTGCCGAGAATGAAAATCATGCTTGCGACGGTAACGACGATAGCCATGAGGTGACCGGAATAACCACCACCATGGTTACCAGGCGAGAGACGGGGGCCGCGATGCCCGCGATGAGCACGGCAGGCGGCGGAGGAACCCGCGAGGGAGACGGCGCCTTGTGCTCGTGGACGACGATGATGATGATGGCAGTGCTGTTGCTGCTGCTAATGTCCACGATGCTGCTGCTGCTACAGACGATGCATTTATAAAATAGCAAAGACAGCGCGAGGAACCCCCCGCATGGAAATCCTCGGGCCGCGGCGCGGCGAGAAGAGCAGCCGGGCCGCGCCGGGCCCGGAGGGAGCGCCGCCTCCCTCATCCTCCTCCTCCTCATCTCCTACCTCCTCCTTCCGTCTCCGCGCCGCGCCATGCACGCGGGAAGAGAGGCAGAGAGAGAGAGAGAGCGAGACAGAGTGCTGAGGTCGCGTGGCCGGGCCGGGCTTACCCGTGAGCACGCCGACCCGCAGCCCGTTGCCCTGCATCGCCGCGCCGCCACCGCCGCCCCCCCAGCCGCTGCTGCTGCTGCCGCTCGTCTCGGCGTCCGCCGCGGACATGGCTCCGCCCCCTCCTCGCGGGGCGGGGCCGCGGAGGCCGCGCCAGGGACCGCGAGCATTTGCGCCTCGCACGGCGGAGCAGGGAAAGGGGTGGGAGGGAGTAGGGGGTGAGGGGCGGGGGAGTGGTGGGGGGAGGGAGTTGGGGGGGTTAGGGGCGGGGAGTGGTGAGGGGGGGGAGTGGTGGGGGGGCTGAGGGGCAGGGCAGGGGGAGTGGTGGGGGGAGGGAGTTGGGGGGGGTAGTGGGGGGCAGGGAGAGTGGTGGGGGGAGGGAGTGGGACGTGGTGAGAAGGGGTGAGAGAAGTGGACCTCTTATTTCGCGTGGCTGATGTGGATGCAGACCCACGACTACAATGTCACATCCAGGTGGTCAAGCCAGACAGCCACGTCAGGTGGAGCGGAGTGCATCGCTGTGATGTCTCCTTCGTAATTGTGGATCGGGAATTGCGTCGTTGTATGTTGTATGGTGTTGTATGGTCTGTTCTGGATGACCACAGTCGCACAACACTGGAGAGTTTTGAATTTTCCTTTTGTGCATCAGGTATCCGCATTTGGGAAGGCGACTGCTTTCCTCGATTCGCAAGACTTCCCGGAGGCTTGCATCGTTGTGGCGGATGGGTGTGGGAGAGATGGTGTGACAGCACGGACAGCCTAGGGTGTGGGGTCGACTTGAGGGTTCCAGTGATACACCTTCACATTGCAGTGTGCAGTTGGACATCAACAGGTCGATGGGTGGCTTGCTTCTCGTCCATACTGGTGCACAGTATTCGGCTGCAAAATATACAAGGGCCCATGTTGATGTCCTAAGCACTGGGTGCTCCTGCGCCCAAGTTTGTGCTTGCCAATCTGGGCCAGGTTGATCCCTTGTTTTGGTCTTGGCGGCTATGGAAGTGGTGAGGGAAGTGGAGCGGGGGGGCAGTGAGGGGGGTTAGTGGATGGGGGGGGGGGGGGTCTGAGTGAGGGGATTGGGGGACTGGGAGTGAACTGCATGGGTTTGAGGGAGAGGAGTGAGGGGCTGGCAGGGGCAGGATTATCACCTCATTGGAGACTCAAACATCGCACCTCCTGGCATTGACATTCCCCTTCCTCGAAGACACCGGTGGTCAACCATCAACTTCATTAGAACATTAACAGTGTGTTGCGCCCATCTCCTTCATACGTGGAAAACTAAAGACGCAAGCCACAGAAGTGTGCCTGTGGTCATGGAACCCGACCTACGGACCGTATAGTAAATGACTATAGTCTGTGCTCCATCAACGGAGGATTAGCAAAGCTACAAGAACTCTCCCCAGAAGCCCTCTTGTGGCTAGTCGAGCTCGCCAGTGGCATTTAGCTCCTGAACATTTTGCCATACGCAACCATGAGATAATAGGGGCAGCTGTTTGCTCTCACGACAAATATATTTTGTGATTCGTATTTAGTTTATTTGGGTTAGCACGTTGTAGTATAACTTCAATATTTAACTATAACGCTCCATCTCCCGACAGAGCCGATCAAATCAAGTTGTCACTGGCGAGGAAATATCCAACTGATTTGGTTTATGAGCAAAACCAGAATGTTTAAAACCAAGCAAAATGTAACAATTCTGAATGACGTTTAAGCTGGAGATTACAAGCATAAAAAAGCTCTACTCTCGCATGGCAGTAGAGCTTTTGTTAAACGCCCGATGATCCTGGAGTGTTCTTGGTTGTTGAACGTGCGTTTTAATGTAAGTGCCATAGCTTCTTCAGGACGTGGTGCTGGATGCTTCAACACGTGAAGCAAAACGTCGGACATAATGCGAAATAACACGCGGTACAACCCTGAAATATGTCAAAGCTATACAGCAATTCTCCAGCAGTATGTGTGCTAGTCTGTTTGATGAATTTATTGAGCAGATGTTCTCTTTGTTTAGGCGTGTGTCTCCTGAGCTGATGTGATAATTGTTAAGGGATGTTTCTTAAGCGGTTGTGTTTCCATGGGTGTGTTCATGTTGGATGCTATTCTGTTGCATGTTCATTGAGCAAAAATACTCTTTGGTTCATAGGTGATCTTTTAACTCTTAAGTCGAAAGAAGATACTTGTAAGAACACCATGAGTGGGTGTAAATGTAATGTTTAAGAAAAAATGGTAAAAAAATATTTAGTTTTTGCAATACACATACTTTTATTTACACTCAAAAGTGGAAAAAAAAATTCACCCCAGAAATTAATACAATTTGATGCGCTGAACAAAAGTAGGTGACTTGCATCACGAAAATTAAACATACCAAAAGGAAGCCACCCACTTTTATTAAGCATATCAAATTTAATGAATTTCTGGGGTGAAAAGAATGTATTTTCTACTTTTGAGTGCAATTTAATTATTTTATTTTACCAGGTAAGGCTCACTAGAGCTATTTGGCTGTTTTTCAGAAGCGACCTGGCCACAAATGAGAGGCCAATTAAGTGACTTATCACGTGGTAATTTATAGCAGCCAAATACTCGAAGCACGTTTCTAAATGTGGAGGGAAAAACCGGAGGACTCGGAGAAAAATACATGCGACCACAGTGAGAACATGGGTGAAGGTCAGCATCGAATCCACGACCTCCTGTATACAATGCGAGGTTATTAACATCTCACCACTGCGACATGTTAATAGTGAAGAACAGCATCAGTATAACCCTCAACACCTATGAACAAATCAGCCGACCTTGGAACGCACCCAATCTGGTCGGACCTCGAAAGCCAAGCAGATCTGAGCTTGGACAGTGCCTGAACGGGTGCCCACCATACACAAATAGATTGTTATAGGGCTGCGGGGCCACGTTGTGGTTATATTCAGTTGTACTGTACATCTATGCTGCCTGCCTTTACCAATCCGCCTTGACCAGCCGGGGTAAAGTATGGTCAAACAGCCTCCACAACCAGCAGGGCATGGGGAGGCACTTATCCAGCAATGGATTGACAAAATGTCTCTATGCTCCTATGGGCATTGTATGGCGCTCATCTCCACCAGTGGGAATTCCACATTCCCATGGCAGGGACTATCTTTAACAAACACTGACGACTCCGCACAAAGTGGTACCTATTTTATGACCCTGTAGAGATGACAATAATGGCTTGCTTATGTGGACCTTTGACCCTACAATAAATTAAAGCATGCGCATTGCTATGCAACAACAGTGTACGTAATGAAAGATTGATAATATGCAGCACGAAGAATGGCTATTACAATTAGAATTGCAAAGTAGAACAACACGATACGTATTACGCATTTAATTGTCCTATTTTCGATCACAGTACGAAAGGCGGTAAGACATATAGACTGCAATGGTCTAACAATGCACGCATATGCACAGTTGTGCATATCGCGACAAAGTATTCAAAGTGCACAGATTTAGCACTTTAATTTAAAGCGCTTATATAAAAAATCATAATGAGTACATTTTGGCAATCAAAATAGGGATAGCATTACATTTAATTTTAAATCATCATTGTTTAAATCTGCTTGCTCAACTTGAGGAAAACCATGTTGCATACCTGTTAACCCCTTATCAGTGCCTACCTTATTAAAGACCAATTCAGACCTTATTGGTCACCCCGTGTCCTGATAAATCTCAACGTTCATCCACAAAGTTCCATCACGAGGGAGAAACACAAAGACAAGTTGTTGCCCGTATTGAAACGGCTGTACGCCATATGGACCTGAAAACTCAATTTCCCTGTACAAGAACACGGGAAACCGTATGGGTATGATGTTGCCCTCAGCGCGTCGAAATGGACATGACAAAGCAAATTATAATTATATTTATTACGATGATGATCTGTCATTATTTTAGCAATAGTACTAATTAATATTGTTGTGATTGTTGGTCTCGCGCTACCGAAGAGGGAACAACAGCGGCCGCTCCGGCGCCTTGACGAGCGGCGATGTACGCGGCCTTTCATTGGTCAGAGGCTGCCCAGCAACAGCCGCTCGGATTGGACGAGACGTCCCCCCTTGTAGCTCGGCGCGACCATTCGTGATTTGAAATGGGGGGTGGAATGTGTGAGTGTTTTAATAATAACAATTAATACAAAAACACGAATAGGCACATGATCGGCGGGACCTAGAGTGGTATTTTTTCTGAAATCTTAAATTGTCACAGAAGACGAGTCTTGTCTAGAAAATGTCATCTTCTTAGGCTTCGGAGAGCCTAAGATTTTAAATAATACTAGCTGTACTACCCGGCTTCGCCCGGGACTTGTATCCACCACGCCCGGCCGCCTTTGTCTCCCCAGTGGCGATGTTAATACGCCGCACCAGTTACTCGTTTTGAGGCTGAGTCCCTCCCTCACCACTCTCCCTCCCTCGCCACTCTCCCTCCCTCACCACTCTCTAGAGGACGTGAAACTTTGATGATTTTACCTCAGAGTCGCGTGGTGGGTGTCGAGGCCTAGCACCGTGCAGAGCCTCCGGCCTCGCCTAAATTGCCCACCCGGCTGAGGCTGGGTACGGGTGCCGTTCCCCCCCCCCCCCCCCCCGCGCTACAATAATACTGTCTAATCGCTATAATTTTATAATCTACCGACCCTATAATAGCAATTGCACACATTGTGGTGGGGGGGGGGGGGGGAGTGAAGAGGATGTGAAACTTTGATGAATTTACCTCAGAGTCGCGTGTTAATGGGTGCGCCTATTTTTAACGGGAATTAAAAATGGCGTCCACCCCGCGGCAAAGGCGTCGCTACCCGTTGCCAGGGGCAACAGCCGTCCAATGAAACTGCGTATGGTCCGGCGACACACAGACACACACAGACAGACAGATTCGCGATTTTATATAAATAATATTAACAGACAACATGGCAAGTTCAATACAAGTGTGTCATAAAAATGGATAAGCAGTCACTCATCTAATGTGTATCAGAAATAAGTCATTTATATTTTCAAACAAACTGTTAAAATGTCAGGTGAGATGTAGAGTTTTGGAAAATGGGTCCGTGGTAAAATGACAACATGGAGTGTGTAAGGACGTGGTTGCTCTTGATTCACAGTACTTTCATATTAGTTACAAGCGTCTCGCGTCGCGATGCAAAC